TAATCGCTATCTACTAAAGCAATGACTTTTCCGGACTTTTCTGTTTAGCATCTGTCTTCTTTCTCGTGTTTTTCTAACTACTATGGCTTTCCACGGACTGTTATAGAAAGCTACTTCCCGTTCGCTTACGCCTCCCCCGTCCCTTCCGTTGCCTTGATGCTAGACGCCAGGTACTTCCGAAGCTTACAGCTGATATCCGGCGCTTGCAGGGCAAATTATCTTTACCCAAAAAAATGCAGCTACTGAAGCACTATAGAGTTGAAGAGTGCACGCGGACAGACAGATGTTTATGGGCGCGTCTGAGGGTCTTACGCAACGGAACGATGATAATCAGGGCTGGTATGCCAAGAACGAGGATGTCGTCTCCGTTTTGAGGCAGAACGTTACGAGAGACTGCCAGATTTGCTCGGAATTAGTCTAACTAACTATATACATGGCTAGCTTTTTGACATAAATCTGTTCGAGTACTGCATACAGTGAAGAACACGCAAATCACGGATGTACGAAGTCTAAGTAGACCTGGTACACGCTTGATGAAGAAAGGAGGTGCGACTGCCGGTAACATAGATAGAGTATGCTGAAAAAATGAGGATTTGTTTACGTGACTAGGCCTTCATCAATAGTTGTAATATAAGATGAGCATGTCTGCGAAATCAGTTGCGTTGAACGTATTCAGTTTTCGAAGAAGAGAAGTGCAAATAAATTCAACACGATTCGTTGTTCTTTACGTTCACAGTGTAACTGTTTTATCAGTTCATGATGAACTCGCGCGCCTGTTAACCAGCAACGTTCCAGGTGTACTTTGGGGGACTTTTAACGAGGTTAATTATATACGACACACGATTTATTGATCCGCGCGCATTTCACGGATCAATTTCAAGGAAAAGACCGTTGTGCGTTGGCTGCTTTAAGAGATATTCGTTGGTGATAACGTTAAATCGCCCGCTCGCTTATCACTGTTGATGTTAGCGACGGAAAAGATGAAATCAACTTTGAATGTAGCAATAAAATGCAGTACAGATAACAGTAATATAAAGAGCCGGAGCTAGAGAAGGTTTATCGTAACTAATAAATGCACACTGTAAGATTCAGACATTCAATAAACTAAGGAGAAACATTGGTGATCATTATTTTTACCTTCAGCGTCCTCATCATCATCATCAAAACAACAACAACAACAACAACAACAACCGTATCGAGACTATTTTGAAACTCGCAACTTTTTGTTCAACATCAATCTTCGCTCGCTAAACGGTATCGTGCCCGGTACAATCAACGGGTAAATGGTGAGTGGTACTTCGATTGCTTCATCGGCAGTCGCTAGCGACGCGTTTCTGTCGGCCCGTTTGGCGGTCTATGTTTGTTTTGTCCGCAAGTTGACGTCACATTTAGCATCGTTTCAGTCCACGGCTACTGTGAAAAAGCTATAATTATTAAATGACCACTGTTGAACTGCGTGTCGGAAAATTTGAACAGGTAGTTAAGCGTTAGCGTTGGCTTGGATGCGCGTGGGTGCGTCTATGGAATTTTGCTAATACAATGTTATATCGTGGTTTTGCAATTCGTGCGATGAGAGGCGAAAGCCCTTTGGCGGCAAGGCAACAGTGTCATCTGCACAAAAGAGCTGGTTGCATTTCGTTATTATAGCGTTTGCTAGTTACGCAACGCTGGTAAACAGTGGCGTTGAGAGACAAGAGGTTTTCTCTCAATATCTGTCTGGTTATCATAAATGAATGTTTCAAGTTTTACGTTCTTAGTATCACTGTGCCAAACGGCTCTTCCAGCACAGTACGAACTGTGTGTGTCTACACCCGCTTTCGAACCCACACCCACATCTCGTCACGTGTTGTTTAGCTGCAAGCGGACCATCTTTGCAACCCTGTTAAGCTATCGCTCTAGCTGTCTTGGAGCTGCCGCTCAGGACTGCTGATGACAACGGCAGTGACAGAAACAGCCATCATAACGCTAATAATGTCCGCGGCCGTTGGCTGATGATCAAGCTAGGTCAGACGTCAGAAATTGCCGTAGGCGTGCGCCAGTTTCGGGGACGACCTCTCACCAAAGATTAAGCGACGTCAAAGGCGTTTGACGCGCTTTTGCGTTAGAAAAGTGTGAGGGTAGCTGCAGTGACAGCTGTATTTCTGTGAAAGCGACTTCGGCTAAAAACTAGTTAGTGATATGAGCAGAGAGAGTAAGGCGATCATTCGTTGCGTTTGTGTTTATCGCATTCTGACATTTGCGCGATGGTTCGGGTCGGAATGACACTCTGAGACGATCAGCAGAGTTGCAGAGAATCCCGAGTCTTTGAATGGGGTCTGTACTGTGCACGGCGTGAAATCTTCAACGAGACTACACTATGGGAGAGTCATTTAAATATACTGCAGAGTTTGTGCCTTCTTTAAGCGAAGTGTAGTAATCGAATTTGCCGCGAAGAACAGGACTTCGGGCCGGAATGGTGAAAAATAGTGATAGTTCTAAGTAGAGGAGCAGAGTCGTCGGCATTTTGAGTTTTCGCTATTAGAGTCAAAATAAATTCATCGTTTCTTCGAAGACGACTTTTAGTCAAGTTATTTTGAAGATATAGAAAAATGGCTAATATTGTCTTTCTGACGGTACCGTGATTTAGACAAAATGTGTCCAGCCTTAAGAAGTCGGCCAGTCAGGAAATGACGCGAGTATCTAGCAACCAGGATCTTACGTTCACTCTGTAATGGCGCAATGAGAGAAACGACTGAGAGAGATAATAGTTTGTTAAAGTCTTCAACGTTAACTTGCTTTATTAACCAGTTACTAGTGATGCCAGCAAATAGTCCACGTACCGTAAATATCCTACCATTCCAATTCCGTGCCGATAAGGTCACGCATTACCCCATTCGTGTATACTGATTTTACCTAATCAGAGCACCCATGAGCACCATTAGTCCGTTAACGCCGACGAATCGATAACTAGATTGATCTTATGTGTACGACAGGATTGTACGAAGTCGTATCCGCGTCTGTTGCTTTTAGTATAACGTCAGAGAGTAAGTGCGCATAAGTTTGCCTTTTCCTCCCACGAGTGATTTCTAAGGGTCAGAGTTTTAGTCTGAGTTCATTTTGAAACAGCTATTATATATAGTTGATGTATATATCACTCACTAAATTTTCATTATCGATGCAAGTCGGCGCCTCAAACTATATCTGTCAAGATAAAAGTTACAGCGAGATTATCAGGATTTTCAGAGAGAGATTATTATTCAAGATGCACTGTCTGCTTAATTTTCACATCTTACTAGTTTACTATTAACGGCAATCAAGTGGGCTGCTACATGATTGCCCGTGGGCTTGGTGAACAGAATGTGCTCGGATCAGACCGAACGGTAAAGGTATCGATAAGAAAGCACGACGAAAGAATTAGACAAGAAAATAAAGTTGAATCAAGCAATTAGGCAGATCAACCAACCTGTTTTAAAACCACGTTTGCTGCTATCCACTTCGCGAAGATTGTAAATGTGACGGATTGATAAAACGTCAACTGACAGTCATTAACAGACCGATCCATCGACAGGTTGAAGGTTGGTACAATAAAACTCTCGAGCATATTTAGACCGATTGCCGAAATCAATCGCTATCTTCGCTATCGCCGATGGAGCTTTCCTATGTCCGCATTTTACACCACAGCCATACATAACCCAAAGGTGATTAGCATCTGGTAGGTTAACTGTTGTCCCAAAACAATCTGTATGATCATTATTGAAACATAGCCGTTCAATGTTATAGCCTTCGATGTCTCCTCAAAGCGCTGTTTTGCGGCCGTTTTGTCTCATCACGTTGAATGCTGGTCGATCATCGGCCAACGACAAGGAGCAATAAGGATCGAAAGATGACCGACCGATGACTGAAGAGACGCGAATACAATGCACCCGACATGACAACACAAAAGGCAACACGATCGAGATAATTAAAGGGGAACACTACAGACGAGCTTCTCGAGACATTTCGTCGTATAATTACATTTGCTATTAGTAATATCAGTTTTACAGTAGTTGCAGCCTCTACTCTTCGGTTTTGCCACTGGAGATTTGCGCATACAGAACGCATTAGTTAGCGCCTGCTATTCATATGTTTGTCCTGTTGCTTGCGTCTGCGCTGGCTGATACCGGTTCACTGTGGCGGTACGAATTGGGCATTAACGGTCGAAATGCTATCGTATGGCGCTTTTGTTGCGGCTGTGAACGTTATTTTTATTGGTAACAAACTTAACGTTACTACCGACAATATGGGAATGTTAATGGCATTGACTGTCCATGCCGCAACGGAGTGCAAATTTCGTCTCGAAACTGTGAACTTCTAGTTGAGTTGTGCAGAAACTATCATAGCGAGTGGTGGTATCGTCGTAATAAAGGAAAACAATTCGACGCAGGCAGTGAGTACGTTGACGGTTAAAGGCATTGAAGATGAATGAAGCTAGAAAAGAAATGGCGCCAATTCTAACTTCAGAAATAGCGCTATTATCGCTTTCTGGCCGAAGTATTGCAATTGTCGTCGTCGTCGTCGTCGCCGCCGCCGCCGCAAGGCCCTTTGTAAAGTGAATGAGAACAACTGACTTTCCGTTCCTGCCATTGCCATCAAAAGCCGAAAAGAGAAGGCGAAAACTTCGCAGAAATAATTTGACTAAGCTTGCGAGGTTTTCCTTCGGACTTCACCAGAGTATCGTCGACAACTACGTTGGGTCCTTAATAGTCGTGCTATCGTCTTTGCAGTGGTATGACTCCTCGTTCTCGATAACTACTCAGCAAGATATCATTAAACCAGCTAACCAGTCGGTTTTTGCGGAGAGCAACAGCTAGGCTGTGGAGATATAGAGTCGTAAAGAATTGTACAAGACTATTCAACGAGTCATTATTCAACACCTCGTTACAGTAGTAGACCTGAGTAGTATACAGTTTGTCTGTGTGCGTTTTATGCTCCTTTGCGGTCGTGCTGATTCGTCTCGGTTCGTCAGCCCGTTTCGGCCTTCGTGTGTTCACTGATAATAGCTAATTCAGCTTGCTCGGTTTGACTTCCGCGCGCAATCGGCGTCCTATGCTGTATACCGAATACGGCTTGATACTTGACTAGTGCGATTCGGTGCGATGCCATGCTCAGCACAAGCCTCGATTAGCTAGAAGTCATACGCGCCGAGAGGTCCACGCGCATGGATAAGTGTCCTTCGACAGAGTGCAGAATAGATACGAACAATCAATGACTGTTTGGTAGCGTTGCTGGTGGCATTGTTGACGGTTTACTTGCAAACGAATCATAATAACGGTAGTAGCGATTCGTTTGGATTGCGATAGAGATAGTACTAGTTAATTTAATTTCCCCGGCAGCTCCTTAGCGCTGATCTAAGCGACGACCTTAAAACGTCAACCTTTCGATACACGTACACTTTAGTAGAAGTAATTAGCTCAACAAGCTGCTATGATCCTGCTGCTCTACCCCTTTTGCTACTGCAACAATGCCATGGATTTTCAACGAAAAGGAAGATGGACGATGGCTCTCTCGTGGTGATGTTATCGTTGAGGAATAGGCTATATGAAACCGAGCTTTTTTCGTTTGTTGTTGAATGTTTGGAAAATTCGGACGGGTGGCGACGGATACTCGTCAGCGAGCCAAAACATTCTCCATATATACTGTCAAGTATGAAGCTGACATTAATATTAAGTTTTCATCACATATGTCTGTGTCGTATATAGTCATGTACCTAACATTGACAACCCGAAAACTATTGCATAGAGCGCGGGCCTGGGAAACTCAACGATTACTATCCGGCTAAAAGTAAGATACTATATTTTCGAGCAACTTGCTCTATTCCGAGAGGTTTACCTATTTTAATATAAATTATCTGTTCTTAGTCAGTACTAGCTCGTCCGTTCGTTAAGGACAAGTTTAAATGCAGATATGAGACTAATTTTACTTAGTGTAAGGAATTATTGCTTAGTTTGTCTAGTTATAGACCTATTTTATCGTGTACTTTATGTCAACAAAAATCAAAATAGCTTATTTTTAACAGCAACTCAAATTCTGCCGAGTTACCAGCATATAACTGCTGTTCAGTGTATTACTATGCATATCTCCTTATTCTTTTACTGAAGATCGTTGCTATTGCTGTGAAAGCTGTGTAGCGGCCATGGCTACACACGATCTCGACGGTTATCTTGCTTCGTTTTTACAGACAGGCACAGAGCAGTCTAACAGAAATTAGTTAACGATTCCCCAAACGGACATCAACCTTCATTATTAGCCTGACAAGGTTTGTCAGTCCATTATCAGTTTTGAGTTGTTGGCGGTGCTGTGTCGTTCGACACGTTAAGACTAGTCCTATTTTGTGTCCTAGCTTTCCGAAATACTTCCATAGTCTTCTCAAGTGGCGCTGAGAAATTTGTCCGTTAGAATTCCGCCGGAGCTTATTCCTTGTAAAGGAAAAACGAGTTTTTTGTTGGTTGCTGGCCATGCAGACGCATGTGTTTGTTCCGCACTAAAAATGTCCCTTTACGGCGGAAAAAGTTCCATCGGTTGACAAGCACTGATATGTTAGTTTCGCGGAATATACGATGAATTTCTAATAAAGCCGATTGAGTTAAATATGGCCTAATATATTCCCGGGTGTGAATGGAAGATTAGGTTAGGAATGGAAGAATGAGATATACTTTGTGGTACCAATAGAGCCGAAGACTGTTCCGTTTGTCTGTAGAGAGTTCGAGCCAGAGTCGCATGGATTCTAGGATGCTATCATCTGTTTAAAGTACATACTAATAACAGAGCAGTCGATTCAAGCGAGCGTCGCCTAGATGCAGACATCGATAAAAAAGCTAGCTTGGAGAAGCATCTGGTATTGGTGCCGATACCGACGCAGAAAATGGCGAAAGAGAACCTAAACAACATTAATAAGGGAAATTTAAGACTGTGGATATGTTTTTCACTTGGTTTCAATTACTTCTATTGTCGGAAGAAAGAGGCCTAATTTAGGATACTGGAGTCAAGGAGGTCGCTTTCTTAAAATTAAGCTGGTCATCTAATAGAAAAATTTACATAAGTATTAGATCTATGCCCCATACATTGGTGAATGAGGTTGTGTGACGATGGCACAGTACGCCGTTTTACAATGGCTCCAAAGGAGTTTTATGAAGTTTCGAGACGAGTCCTCCATAATTCGAAATAAACACTTGTCCGCCTATCGAAAAGCTGACATTCGTCAGTATTTGCCATTGAATTAGAATGGCAACACTATATAATTCAAGCTTATCTATGTGAATATTTGATTGAGGTAGTCGAATGAAACCCGTGGGACGCATTTGCGCATGTCATTGCTAACTGTCGAGCCTTTCGGCCTGCATCTGCCGGATACAACAAAATCTTGCCTATTTATTTTTATTTTTATGTAAAGCAGCCTCATTTGTCGTATGTGATTTTGCGTAGAGTGCAAAGTAAAAAAAAGCTTGCACGACAATATCGTAAAACCCGAAAATAGGCGCCCGAGTGATGCATTGCCTACCGTTTAAAAACTCTAACTCGTCAAATGATCAAGGCATAATGAGAAAATTACTTACATTGATAGCAATAATGATAAGATCTGTTCTTACTTTACGTTAATTTAATATGATGTTCTTCATGTGTCGTCTTATGTCTTCCCTTGCACTACTTCGCCATCTGCCCAAAGAAAGCTGACCTGTCCGGGCTATGTCTGTGTGTTACGTGTACTATATGTAAGTTGTCTTGTGTTGAAATTTCAGTATCGGAAGCGCCACGAACTTAACGGCCATATTTATAAAAACAATGTGAGATATCTGTAGTAATAAATAGCAGCCTATTGAATAAACGTTATTGTAATTGTTCGGGAATTTTGCGATTTTTTTTGGCTAGCACCGTGAGATACAAGTTGATTGCAAGAATCTGTTCGCGACTATTTATTAGCGCCTATAGAAGTATAGCATACTTTAATAACACAGATCGACATTGCGTCGCTGCTTGTAACATCCGCTTTATAGAAGTGGTTGCAACGAACCGGCGCCTCTTTCGTTTTCAATGGCCTTGATCAGTCGTTGGTCGTCTGTAGGTTTTACTGATTCAAGTTTGTAATCAGCTCGAGACGTTTACGTCATCCATGCTGCACACTTAAGAAGTAGAGCTTAATTAATTTCATTAGCCAGATTGGCTCACGATCAGAAGGCCTCAGAATAGTATGTAAGACGTATATAAAAATAGGAATTTCTAGACTATATTAGTTGAATAGGACAGTCACAATAGCGATGGTTCAGTAAATGTATCGTCTATATATCTTCCGCTTGGTTTATCTGTGCACTATTTCTATTATTCGAAATTGGAAATTTACTACATGTTTACATGATAGACAACAGGACATTTTTCATTGTAAAATGTTAGCGATAAACGCTTTCTATTGATTTAGGCTTGGTGCACGTCGACGCTTCATTGACAACGACATTTTAATTTTTTCCTTTTTTTTTTTTTTTTTTTTTTACCAATAAACAGCTTCTTATAGCAAATAATTATCAGAGAGCCCGATGACTAAGGCGTTTATTGCCCCTGTTCATACCCATCTTTGCTACACCACAATACCCAGATGCTAGACTGACTGCCGAGTACTTTTGTTGAAAGCCTATGAATTTGTTTTAATAATACCACTAGTTGACCTCGCTACGAGTTCGCCACTGCTGAGTCAATTAAATAAAATCATTTTTTTCGTAGGCAATTAACTAGGGCAAAGATGCCATTAACGCGAACAGTTGTCAATCGCAGCTTTTCTTCTCTCTTCTGTCCATACACCCAGCTGCTTCATGTTGTTCCTTTGTTAGAAAGCTGTAAACACGTACGCAATTCATAACATTCATAGAATGAATTGTTGTATTTCTTACACATTATTTTAAGCCAGGCGAGCGTAAAAGGCCTAAATGAAGGCTTCGGTGGCAGACATACAAATGCGCAACTAGAGATAAACCGCATTTGCGAAGAACACGCTAAGTACAGATAGGAAATAGCCCGTTGGCCTTACTGACGTTACTCCTAAACTGTACAGACTATTTGGCAAATAATCTATGAACAATCGTGAACGTCATTTAGTTTTTTTGTCTACCGTCTCCATAAACCGTGCTCTTCCACCGAGTGCTACCGTAACGGCCGTTACAATCAACTTTCCCAATAGTGCCAGCATCGTTGTATGTATGTGAGCTTATAGCAGTATTTTGCTAACAGCATCTTTAGAAGCATATCCTCTAGAAGAAGTGCTTTTCGTCATTGTGATAACGACCGGCGAAGTGTTCTCTTCATATCCTACAGATGTACTTATGCGGACAAAAACCTATGAATACTTCGGTTTTTTTCTAAAAGAGATTATAATAACAATACGGATTTCTGTCTGTCGTTACGCTCCTGTCACTGTCAGTGGGTCTGTACGTTTCCCTAAATGTGTTCGTAATTCGGATCCTCCGCCACGTGTTATCAGTTGACTACTAAACACATTGGCAGCATCAATAAAAATGGCAGCCTATTGATATCTGAGTGTCTTGGTCCGTTTCCTGCGTGTTTTTAGTTTGGTTACGCACGTAATCGGTATCATCACGTTTTGTCATTGCCTGCCAAACTGCCGTCGAAAAAATTGTCCGAGCTTCATGCACATGATGGACACACAGCCAGCAGCGCCGTCTGCGCCAGGGTATGGGCACGACTCCGCCAAGCTTTCCCTCATCGTGTCTTCTCTATTCCAACTTAGTATGCCAGCCATTAAGTGACCTCCGCGGTGTCATGTCCGTTCTAGCGGTACACCGACCGCGTCGACAGTGGCGCTGCCCTACGCTTTTACGACGACTCACGTTTACGTTTGTTTTTGACACCGAATCACTGTTCATATTTCTTACTTCATGATTGTTAATAGCATTGGTATTGTTATTGTTATCGCTGGGTCAGGCGTCGATATGGGCGTTGCGTCGTATATATTGTCGTCGGCAGGTAGCTAGCGAGAACGTGATGCTTCGTTGTAAGGGGTTAACCAGCTAGTGGGGAACAAAGATGATGCAGATACTGAACTGGATATTGGTGATTTTTGTGAGTTGTCCCGTTAATTAGCGTTTTGTCTGACTGGGGCGTGGTGTTAAGTATAAATAGCAGCGTAGAGTTCCGTTGGCCGGCAAACGGTTCATGCATTACGGAAAGAATAAGCCGCGTGCAATGTAGTGGACTCATATTTTTTCAGTTCTTCTTGACAACAATCCATTAATCGTGTTTATTCCATTCATGGTGATCCTTCGTGGCATTGTTATCTAGCTTTGCTTACTTTCTAACCTTTATAATAGGCAATAAAAGATAAGCCTTAATTATAGGAATCATTATCGCAAATTGTGCTTATATGCATAACCTAAAGAGTTGTCAGTATCTTTAACAACATTTCTTAGTGCTTTGACTACGTTAAACAAACGGATATCTATTAGTTGTACTCGAATCCTAGAACGCTGCATGTGACTTGAATCGAAACTCCCGTCGTCCGTTTTGACTTACTAACCCAAATTCTTGGGAAAACTTTTGGCATTGTTGTTGGGCGACAATCAAGCCTATAAACTGCTTTGATCTATCTTATCGGTCGGCAAGCGTCATCAAGCACCGGAAAAGTTAACTCCGAAAGCCCCATTTTAGGACCCCCAGACTAGCTATGTTGTAACAACGAAACAATAAAGAAAATACCGTGTTTATAGCACATTCACACATTATCTAAGCGGCACCTAAAACTGAGACGAACAAGACAAAACTCAATACGTCTAGTTTGATTAGTTCTTCCCTTTGTCCGGCTTAGGCTGAAACATTTACTATAGTCTCAAAACTGGTCGTTTCTATTCGATGCACAAATAGCATATAGACGTACATCCGTTTCCTTAACGGTCACCCCGCGGCCTATTGTTTAGGATTTCTCTGAGTTCGCGTATAAAGAGAAGGACCATGGGTGCGTCCTGATACCTACTGCGTATGCGAACAGCTCGGTTTTTTATTTCTTGTAGAAAATCGCAGCTTTTTGTGCACTGCGTGGTTTTGTTGCGCACTTAAGCCAATACGCTCTATGTAACTCCCTAGCATAATTGGCGGAGTGATAAAAAAAAATTAAGATGTCTGATTGTCTACCACAAGCTGACACGACGCGCACTTTCTTTGAGATACTTTTAATATCTTTTAGAGTGGCTTCTGTGCTACTTGGCGACACTTTGTTTTTTAGTATTTTGTGATCCGTATCAATTGCTAACGAAATTGTTGTTGTTATTGTCGTCGGTAATAAGAATTTATAAGCTGAGAAGGGTAGCAATCGTGGCGGTAAATATTACCACTCACCTCTATAGTAGCGACACATATAATCAATCAACCAACTGAATTCAACATATAGGAAGGTCACTTTCCCCTATCACAGTATCCATCTGTTGGGATTCCGTAATAGAAGAGCTCCGTTTGGGGACAGTGTCCCTTGTCCATAATTATTACGCCTGGATGTTTCACTCAACGTCATCTGCGCGTTACGAAGCGTCGATTTGCCCAAGAACGCAGAACGCGTTACGTTTCGAAGTTTTTTTTTAATACAGAGGGGACATTTGTGTTTTGCACGGGTAAGGGGCGCAGTACAAGAAGGTGGGATCTAGTAAAGTGAGCTAGATAATATTCATACATCGATATGAATAATTGTAAAGCTTTGGGTTATTTTTCTCATGGGTCCAATGTTTTCAATCTACTGAAGTAAGCACAGTACCATCGAAATTAGACTGCATGCGGGACTTTGTTCTGTTGACTATGAATGCAATATATATATATATATATAAGCGTACTATATGATAGCTTATAAACCTACAGGATTCTCAGAGTATAAAATGTTATCGTTTTTCTTTCTAGTTGGACATGGTCTTAACAGGGCTATGTTATGTTTAGATCAATTCTACCCATCTACTACTAGATTAATTTGACCAAAGAAAAACATCAACGAATGCTCAGCAGGTTAAAATCTGTGCTCAACATGCTAAATTGTTGACAACTAACATTGAATTGGGATCAGGCCATTACAAGTGACACAGACTTAACACTACAGAGTAACTAAAAAAATTCAGATGATGCTATTAATACGCGTAGAAGATGCGTTCGCCTTTCTCTCGTTACCTAGAATTTGCGCTTGATAGATTTACTTTGTTCTCCTTTTTTGTTTTCGCAAAAAAACGGCGCCAGCGACACCGGTTTAGAGTACATATTGACTTGAGTAGATGATGATGAGCAGGTGTGCGTAAGTTTGGATCGGTCGTGACGATTAGTATTGTTATAACTATTATCATTGACGATTCTATTATTTAACAATGGATCTCGTTGAGTTTGCAGTATAAGGCCGTAATTTCATTTACGTCAACTTGCTTTCCATTTTGTATCTTTGCGAAGTTGCTTGGTCTGTTGATAGACGTACGATCTTAATGATTTTGGGAAAGTCCAATAAACAACAAGATCACAGCGTAGTAGAACACTTTGTTGTTGATGCTCACAAAATCGGCAAAAGAGAGCTGAATACTCCTCGACGCCAGCAGCCATCAAGCGCTCAACGCGTTACTTTACCTATTTCTCAGCACTTCGTTATACGATAATAGAAGACTTCCTCATTTATCTGATCCATATAATATTTTTCAGGATCTAATAGAAAACTTTAACGGACCTGTCGAAGAGACGTTTGTTGACTGGCAGTAACAGCGCCTGTCATCTTTCAAGACCGCTTATTCGTGCATTGAGTTCTTTTTTTCTACATATATACTCGTTGAAATAATGTTTTTTTGCCGCTAGAACTTGGTTCTGGAAATCTAACCGATAAATATGGCCATACTTTATCATAATACAGAAAAGTTTTATGTCGTTCACATACACTTTGGTTGAAGATGTCCTCTCTCAATGAATTTCCGATCCGATAACGTTCATTATCAGCTGGTGACTATGAAAAAATATCAATGCAAAGAGATATTACGAACTTGCTTGTCGGAAATAGTACTGCTTGACCATCTAATTGTGCTCTCTGTTAATGTCCATCCACTTGGTCCTCTGTCGTAAGTTTGTTTAGGCTTCGTTGAATATGTCGTAGAAGCTGTTATAGTTAATGCTAAGTGGTATAATATAACCTCTCCCCAATTTTACGGTGACTGCTGCTGCCGCACTTACTTTTAAAAATGGAAATAAGCAAGGTTAAATTTTGAATTAAACAAAAAACAGGTTTTTGGAAGCTTGAAAACGTAGCAGAAACACAAATACGATATCGCGGAAATTTTGTGCAGATGCACCTTCGCTGCTTACAATTAATCGGATAAAATGTAAGTTTGAAACGGACGAAACTCTTCAGGAGGCATTATACGGAAGGCAAAAAGTATCACTGAACTTCACCACGCAACAAAAAGCTGCAGAGTATTAGCGAAATTTTAGCGAAAATTTAGAAAGCAGCCAAATCGTGAGCTTGGCATTAGAAAATTAAGTTGTAACTGCATTTTAAAACGTTCTCAATAAAAAAAACTTACATTTCAACAATGCCAGATATTATCGATAATTTACACCGAAGTAAATCATTTTACGAATGGCATTTAGAAAACTGCGAACGAGGAAAACGAAAATTTCCCAAACGAATGGGTTGGCCCCCCGAAAAGAAGAAATTCCTTCCCTATCTAACGTAATCTGGCCTAATAACGTAAGATCTAACGTGACTGGCTTTTTGTAGGCTTTTTTTGGGGCTAAAGTCTATGCCAGAAAACCGACGATCCTGGAGGGTTTAAGGGCTGCAATCGAATAAGGATGAGCTGAATGATACAAAATGAAATATCTTTTGAAATTTGTGAATTAACAGCCCGCTCTCAACAGCAGTATGTAAGTACTGAGCGGAACGGTACGCGAAAGGCGTTACACGCAGGCTTTATTGCAATTTAATTGCTAATTAGATGCAAACAACAATTGAAGTTATAATAATTTCGTTAGAATATATTGTATTAACATTTTTTACCGGTAATTAGACCTGCTGCTTCTCTAATATTAATGGTAGCCTGCTTGCCTGATCAATAATATCTCTGAATGAATGTCCTGGCTGGTTCCAAATGAACGTAGAGCCGAGTCGTAGCCCAACCCAGTCCAGCATCGTGAGCAAATTTTCTCTCTACGCTGTGACGATACATTTTCCATAATTACGTACTTTGCATTCTTTCATTGTTTTTCGGTAAGTGATTTTGTCTCGATGCTTTAGCGGGTGCCGCTCGTGACGAAGCTCCTTGCGACTTTCATCAGCGGGGTATGGACTTCCGAGACATTAGATGAGTTCCGATGGAGGCCATTGTTTACCGCTCTATTTTTAGTATTCTAACATTGGAAATCGTATTCCTGTTAGTCGTATAGGCTAAGCTCGCATAGATCTGAGGTGTACGAACTGCCCATCTGTTGCTAAAGTTGTTGTTGTGGTTACTGCTGCTGCTGCTGTTGAGTCTCGGTGACCAGTCAGTGCATTTAGTCAGCTCATCCATCAGAATCGGTGATTGGTCGCCCTTTCGTATGCAGTCTGTTATCGGCTGAAGATCTGTTTACTTTTGGCAATCAGAGAATACAGAAAATTGACGAGCTAAGATGATCAAGCGTGTTTGTGCGGATTGCTTTGCTAGAGGCAATGTACATTGTTTCTCATTACATTATCGTTCATGTTTGTTGTACCCGCTCACCCACTGTGAGTATATACCTACGTTGTGTGTACGGGCTGTACTTAAAGATCATTGTAGGTGTTTTTTTTTGCAATTTAACTTTCAGCGTACTGGGTAGTTTGGCGTAGATATACCTTGGCAGATATCACTTCGCATGGCGCGAGGTAGTATGTAGTCGTATTGATGTAGTATCCAAGATGGTTCTGCGCGTGCATAACTTCAAAGTGTTTCTGTCTTTGGCTCTGCACGTCACACCAGATTCTGGTACCCACCATGTTATCATTCTATGCTAGACTTTTTAGACAATTTCGTTGTGACGTGCTAAACAAACCCATGTGTCTTTGACCTGTCTATGTATGTGCTTGTTTAATGAAGGATTAAAACCGGACCTATTACAGCTATAATGACGACTACTAGTACAACAACAACCAGAACCACTAGCAGATAGGTGGGCCAACCAACATAGCAGACGGATTGGCCTGAATCTCCACCTGGCCTAGGAGGGAAAAAAGGAAAGATTGATTAGAGCTTTGCCTCAAATACATGCGTAAAAGGACGACGCCGTCAATGAATGTCATTAATCATGTCACTTTTTTGTGGTGAGTCACTTTTTTTTTTTCTCAGATGGGCGTTCGTGTTTAAGTCAGTGCTAACCTGATCACATCTGATAAGTCTAAACTATGTTAACTCTCAAAGATTCCTTTTTTGTTCGGTTTAGCTCCGACAACTGGTGACTGCTGAACGTGTAACGATAATAGTAGCAGGAATATCACAATAATTGTAATGGTACCACTGATCATATTAGAATCTAATGCAAAAACATGGTTATAGATGGCTGCCGCATCGACCAGCTTTCCGGGTGAGCTACATAGGACTTACGTCGTGGATTAACTCGATGGACATCCACCATAGCATACGATCCCACTATCAACAACAACATCGTCCATAAACTTCTACAAAGTTAGCGGCAAAAAGCACAGCTTCTCTATAAACAATAACAACAACAGAAATAACTCCTTTCGCCGTAGTGTAGCTCTCGCTAGTATCAGTCTCGATAGCTAGATATATATCTCATGTGTGTACCACTGCAAAAGCTGGTCGTCCATGCTGCCGTGACCGTTCCAACTATCACCGACAGCTGGCAGCGTTTCCTTTTCTGTCTTTTCTGTAGTCAACCAATGTCCTCATAGTCGTTGACGCTGCTGCTGCTGCTGTTGCAGTGCGCAATATTTACGTTGCGTCCTCTCCCACTCGAAAACTAACTGAGTTGTCTTGTTTCTGTCGGTTTCTGACTGGGGAACGCGCGTCTATCGCGTTCCTTCGGCCCCGTTGTCTGTGCATTTCCCTTGCAGGAGAAAGCGTGCTGAACTATAATACTCTGGCTGACGAACTGGCCGAGTAGAATCACCCGACGAAACGAGGCCGTGGAGGTTGTGTGTGCGTGGCGACGTAGGAGACTTGAAAAGCGAGGCAAATCAAATAACGACCTCATCACAGCCACCTCGCCGATGCCGGTAGCTCTGGAGTAAATGCAGATTGATCAGCTCAGGATCGTTACTACCGAATGAAGTACGACGATCGATCAAGGGATGATAATGTACAGAAACTGATACATTAGGTAGTCCACCAGTGTTGGTGTTTAATCTCTACCGGGCCAAATAACACGCGGATAAATGCAAAGTGCTTACGCTCCAGTAAGGTTTTACCATTTCTGTTAGGTTAGATTAAACTTTCTGGGCTCGTTATCGGGATCCGACTTTTAAGCAGGACTAGGTTTTCCTATTTGTGGGGCCGTGCGCTCGAATGACACGAAAAATTCAAAGATACCGGTCGAGACGATGCGTATAACGATGCTGGTTAAGTCGTTTCTTGCGCAGCGATGGCTCGTACGTCTGATTCCGGCGGCCTTTCTGGGACTATTTGTTTTCTCATTCGTGTTCACCTACATGAACGTGATCCCACGAAGGGGATCATTTTCATTCGACGCTCTACCGATTTGTGACGCCCAGGTAGAGCCGGCAGTTGTGCAGCAAGCCAACTATTCTATCGTTTTGTGGACGTCCTACTTTAACCTACAGAATCACCCAGCTTTTGACGATTCGCCCGTGGATCCGAAGCTGTGTGCGTACACTAACTGTGCATTTTCTGTCGATCGTGATGAAGTGGACGCTGCCGATGCCGTTGTGTTTCACCAGGCAGACATGAGCTTGTCAGACCTACCGCCCACGCGAAGGTTTCGGCAGCGTTGGATTATGTACAATCAGGAATCGCCACCTAACAGCTTCACGCTAAGCCCTGCCTATAACGGCATATTTAATTGGTCGATGACGTACAGCCGAACCGATGATATCGTGGTGCCGTATTTCGAGACGTGTAGACCTGCCAACCTAAGTGATTCCGCCATCAATGAAATCGGCGCCGGCACCGAAGAAAAAGCGTGGGCTGCTGTATGGTTCGTTAGCAACTGTCGTGGTCCAAGTAATCGGATGGCGTACGTGGAGGAACTTCAGAACTATATCACCATCGATATAATCGGTGCCTGCTCACCACGTAACATTCAGTGCGCGAAAGACAATCACAAAGCGTGTCTGGACACGTTTTTACCTAGGTACAGGTTTGTGCTGGCGTTCGAGAACTCAATTTGTAACGATTACGTGACAGAGAAACTGCGCAATGTGCTGCCGTACGACGTTATTCCGATCTTTTGGGGTGGCGTCGATTATGGAGAATTTCTGCCTCGGGAGAGTTTTGTTGTCGCGACGGACTACCCGAATCCAAGAGATCTAGCCAGAGCTTTGTACCGTTTTCGAAACAACGATCTGTTCCGGCGGACGTTGTCGTACCGGCGGGGCGTGCAAGCCCGTGGCGTCAGCTGGAAGTGTCGCTTGTGCGAGAAGTTAAACAAGAGCGGAAATCAGACGTCGGTGAAGAGACGTCTCTATCAAACCAGTCATCGAAATGGCCGATGCAAAGTCTGGCGGCGGGGTCATTTCCAAGAGCATTTCCCCCATTAGATCTCAATCGGCACATAATCCTACAGATACGCAAGATGAGCAAATGATGTTGCCCGCGAATGGGGACTGTAGAAATTTGGGTCTACAAGGCGGGTTAGTAGGGTTGTGAATATGAGTAGGGGAAATACTGAAAGATTTATCCTATTTGTGGAACTGTCTCTGTTGTCGATCCAAGCAGGGGTCAGATCGTTCTTCCCCGGGTAATGTAAATGTATGTTTGTGTATGTATGTATATGTCTAAATAAGCAGTATTTTCGCCACCGCGACCTCATAACATCAGCATCTATATAGTGGTATAACAGTGCTTTATGTAATCGAAATCATTTAGGATACAATTTAAAATAGTTATCGAACAACGTGTATTGTTTTCGATAGTTGGTTTTTAACTGGTTTTCTATGACAAACCCCTAGGAAGCATTTCTTCAAGCACCTATCAGGTAGGGTATCGGTTCGATCCGAATAATCTGAAGGAAACGCTTGCTAAGCCGAGATCTGCGATACGAGGAGACTATTTAGATTATACCGAGACAGCCAGCACGAGTATGAGTTTAAAAGTCACAATTTTCGGTGAACGCCGACGGCGGTCACTAGGTGTTGCTTGTGTGCGTGATAATGCGGCACAAATTTGTTGTTGCAAACAATGCCTGTCAATCAAAATGCATCAGTGATCAAATACAGGACGCGACGAGCCTCATGAGCGTATACTGACGTAGGTGAAGTCCGGGTGGATTGTAAAAGACACATCGTAACACTCAGTGCAGCTAGCTATGTGATATCATTTATTGTTTGTTATGAGGAACTAATATTAGTTATACGAATGTAACTTTATATGATAAATCATTATGGCGCGCAATTTAGCGCCACTTTTCAGCACTTTCCAGCTTCAATGGCAGCTAATACATTTTACAGTTCCGTTCACCCATAAAAATTATAGTACGAAAAATAGAACTATATTTTTTATACAAATATATTGCCAATTTTTTTAAAATTTATTTCTAAACAAAGTTGCGCGCCGCGACGGTAATAAAGATGTTTGTCAAAGAACTTGCTGGATGTTTTCAGTTTTGATGTACCTTAAACAATCTTGTCAACCGTATAGAACACAACAAGTCTTAAGACAGCTGCACGGGCCAACTCAACAGTAACTGCTAAATTAACTTATTTAGAATTTAACGTAATAGTAATTTAGCCAAAAAATAGCAATAGTTCTTATCGTTTAAAGTGTTTACCTGCAGGTATTATAGCATGTATCGTATTATATTCACTCAATTATTTGGAACTGATCTTCAAATCGTGCGTTGTTATGATAACTTCCAGATAACTAGAATTCCAGATCCGAGCTCTAATTGTTCGCTCGTAGATTTTTGCTGCTTCAGTTTTATTGCTCGTATGTTCCGAATCAGCAGTCATCTATTGCATGTTGATCCTTCATTTTCGACAGGTTAATTGGAAGATTTGAAACTAAAAAAAATAACGTGTTTTTTCTTTGCTAACCTTATGGCACGAATTACAAACGATATTCAGTGTCGTTCATTTGCCTATATCGCTGTCCTTATGGGGATGGATACGCGAAAGTCGGGTAATATCGTCGTGTAAGGATCTGCACTATGTATTGACTGTTCACCCTATGTTGCCCTGTGATAAGAGGCCAAATTAATTCCAACTTGATGCTGCTAATAGACAAAATATCGGCCTAGTAGAAATCACCGCAAATCAGCAAACGTGAACGTGCCTTACGTACGTACTGTTACAGGACGGCTTTAGGCTGAAGGTGTTCGCGGAAGCATCGAGAAACAAACTTCATAATCTGAGTCGGATATGGCCTGTTCAACGAAGTAAGAGATCTGCAATGAAATTTCGTGCGCTTCTCCCACGGAACAAGTTCGGGAAGCTACAGCCTGCCACTCGCTTGCCTACGCTAAGTCTGAACTGGTCAGCAGAAATGATGCCTATTCTTTGGAGCCCTTCTAGACGGCCTTGATGACAGTTTCCATGGCTTTCAAATACCTTATGTTTACATACTCTGCTATGGATATATCGCTTATAATCTTATTGATACTCGTTGCTTATCAATAGATTTCATGCCAGCCATGAGAATGGTCACTCAACAATGAAATAGCTAAAGCTAAATGGACCGATAGATACTTTCAATGCAAGTAGAAGCTGAATATCGTCCACTAGAAAAAAAAAATATCTAACTCCGTTTCATCGGAAAATCCAAGTGTGTTTGTTATTCTATGAGAACATATGACTGATTGCTAGTAATGCAGAATCAATCATCAGTTGGTTCATATCAAGGTGCTAAAGGAAACGCAAGTGTGGCCAGCCATTGTGGATGTAGAGGCGTCACCGTCAACCGAATTTGCATACGTTACGACAGCGGTGCAATAGAGCTAATTCATATTTGAAGCTATATTATAGGTGATCCATTTCCTGCTTCACGGTGTCGCAGATAGCCAACCGTAGTTGACTTCATAGTGAAGTACAATAAATATGAGGGTCGATAATCCGCAATGCGAATTTTATTCTAGATTACGATCAGCAATTGTCGTTGGACGAAAATCACGAGAACGTTGCTATTTTCGAAATTACGAGTTAGCAATGAAGGGTGTACATCTGTAGGACGATTATTGACGCCTAGCAATGACGTATTCTCTAGTCACGTTCGAAACGCCAACTACTGTATATCATTCAAACCGAACTAGAAGATTTCATTACAGGGACGTCGCAACCATGGAGCCTCTGCTAAATCGACCGCAATCTTTGAATCACTATTATTATTATCTGTTATTATGTATAGGGTTAGGGAGAAATTCTCAACAGTTACATGGTCTTCATCTTACGTATATGACAGTAACAGAAGAGAAAAATGTAGGCAAAATAAATATAAACTGATCACCATCAACCTGTCGAAGCGTGGTTCGCAACTTGTCGAGTTATGTTTGCTTAATGGTATATATATATATACATATGTATAGCTTTCGAAAGGCCCAGTTGATGATAACCTACGGTGTCAACCTGTTTTTGTTACAGCAATTCTTTGAGCTACTGCACGCCACCTTCTGCGATGCAGTGAGAATAGCTGCGGTCTAACAAGTTGACCTTCGTAGGGACGGAATATTTTTCCACGCGGCTCAAACTATTCCACTAAATTTCCACTTTGAGATTGCTTACTATACCACAAAGGCACCTGATAAAACACGTTTCCCTATCACACGCTCCAATGACCAGGCCCCCAGTGATAAGATTCTATCGTAATGTAAGCATCACAACGGTTGCTAGCTATTTAATCTTAGTCTCTTCGACATGGGTCGATTGGAGGATGTTATTTTATATTATTTGTCTGCAAAATCAGTAGGACGAATGTTTCCGTCATAGAGTTTGCTGTAAATTGAATTCAGTTTGTCCAGAATCAATTTGTGGAATAAGTCGAGTTCGGTTGCGTGTTGGTCAAAAATAGAAATTTTTTTTATTTTTTTAATAAAATTAGACGACGTAAAGTGTGAAGGCAGCGTATGGCAGTAATAAATCGATAAAAATATGATTATTATTATTAAAAAGATTTGATACAAGCTCCAGGACTAGTCATTATTAAGATTAGAATATGTAAAAATTGTCAATTGAAAAAATTATAAAGTATACTGCCTGATAGCATTGTATCATCGTATATCACTCGGATGTTGCATTTTTCATTTCCGGATAGCTCTTCCGAAATCTAAATCCACCTACTTTACTTATCATATTCAATTCATTTCAACAATTCAAATTCGTTTTTTGCACCTTTCAAAATTGGCTAGAATGGACTATAGATGCGTAAAGATAGTAAATTAGTGTGTTTGAGATACGTTGATAATAAATTAGTAACTTCTAATGGCTTGTATCAAGAACGTAGGTTGACGTAGGTCCTGAGATCAATTGACATAGGAGACCACTTCTAAAAGCTCTTCCGACGGACCTTCAAGCCGATTTCTCGCCAAGTGCCGCTTCAGACTCATTACGAAAGGCAGCTGTGCGTCCTATGAAAAGACTGGCTCCGAAATTATTTCAAGGTAAATATATGCGCGGCATATATTTACCTTGAGATACATACGAATTATATCTTAGAGACGTCTGCAATGCCTAAATCTCATTCCCATCATATATCTTTATGTGGAATTATCATAGCCTAAAATCCATTGACAAATCCCGATAGCGTTTGCTAGGAACGTTGAGGAAAGTCGAGTGGAATTTCGTTCATTGAAGCATGGCGTCATACTACGTTTTGTATATCTAAATATAAGTAATTGACAGGAATCTCAAGCAGCGCCAACTCACAATTTTGCGAAAAATACTTCCCCTTGAAGGAGCCGTTCTTGACAAATGATCTTAAAAAGAAAGAAACCCTTTAATGACTTTCTGGGCTTCTTTTGAACCACCGTAACATTCAGCGCCATGCACCTGTCGTGCTACTCTTAACGTAACGAGACGTAAGAACTTATCAAGAAGTCGAAAAGGCTACTCCACGTCTACATTTAAATAGATAGTATGCACGCTAACTAAGCGTTTACCAACGCAAAGCGACGATGAAGTTTTAAGAGGCGAGAACACAAATTCTTGCATGTAATTAGTATGTGTCGCTGGTGTATCGAGGGGCAAAAATAGGCTGTATTTTGTATAACCTTTGCATTTTTCTCATAGACTTCTAGTGCATTTCGCCGATTTTCCAGAAACTCCAGTTGCTATTTTGAAAAGCATTCGAATCTACGAGTATTACTGGAAGGTGATGGAAAGTCCTTTTAGAATATTACACTTCTACGACTATAACGGTCAGCGGCGTAATCGGCCCCCATAGGCATCGGGGATCGTTTGTAAATAAGTTTTAAACCTGTTTATGATTGATGCGACAAAAAACAGTAGCAAACTGTTCATGTGCAGAAACGATTTGAAGCCAGCGGAAAGAAAGGCGTCTCGACTATGGCGTCTGTTCTCGATTCCGGCTGAGCGTAACAGCAGCGGCGGCGACGACGACGACAATGGAAATTTAACGCACGCATGACGATATGTAGAGGCGCTAAGTTTACAAGGATCCACTGAGGTAACGCTACAAAGTAGCAGACTAAATATAAAAACTCCTTTTTGGCGAATTGGAGAACCTAATAGTAATAATGACCTATTGATATCTACACATATATCACATAGGTGTGTACGTTTTTAATGTATAGATGACGTTAGAGTTTATACATATAGTAACCATCTCAGAATTATTTTATTAAGAAAGACGGAATGAATTAGTCAAAGAGACGACTCTGATGAAGCAAACTAAATAACCCTTAATTAGTGTGCTATGTACGCTCTTCTCATCCCTACATTCAACGTATCAGCGTTGCTGCGAAAGCGGCTGGGATGCACTGCTGCGCGCACTGGTATCACTTGGCCTTACAGATTTCCGGTACAATAGCTCCTGATGGCTTTCTGCTATTGTTAGATTATCGATTCAAATTGTCAATACCCCGACTAAACGTACTACTACTTTAAATGAAGCAAAGTTTAAAGCCTACTTCTGGCTAAACTGTCATCACGATTAGACCGTGAACGCTACCGCTTTTCGTTGTTATTATTTTTGTCTAGTCATTTGCGCGCAGACGCTGGCCAAACAAGAAACTTCGAATGATGCATCTCTACATCTAACCCCTTCTATTATATGGTCAATGCTCCGTCTTCAGGAACGAACTTTACTGTAGCTGCCGTTCAGCTGGATCAAGCGACGCCATGAGTCAAGAAAAAAAACATGATAATACATAACAACATGAGAGTCCAGCCTTCCTGGTAAATGTAAGGAAGTCAAAGACGAAAATGGATTAGCGTTGTATCCGGATACATGCTCCTGCTTCTGGCAAGATACTACTATCCCTTCCAAAAGCCATACTGACTATAGGAATCGCACGCAATCGACAATACCAGATAGTCAAATAGGCACTAACAACAAAATAAGCTTGTTTAATAGAACTCGCTCTTGGAAGGAATACGTCCCGGCGCGCACGGATGA